GGCAAGATCGTTTCAAAATGTTTTTGACAAGTCCTCAAGGGTCTTAAGTCTTGTATTTCCAAGAAATTGAATTTTTCATGAACATTGCCATATTTTAGGGTACCATACCCCCTTAATTACAACCCTATCCATGGATGTCAAATAAAATAATTTACCCATGTGCGCCTCCATGCATCAAATTCCGCTCTGCGGTAGCCTCCTACGTAGACATTCTTTAGACTCGTCACGCAGTCTTCATCCCCCTCTGTGCAGGAGGCTATCTTGAGGGAGGAGATTGCGTGACGAACCTCGGTGGAGACTCTTTGTAGTGCCATATATGACATACCTATCTACTTGTAGTTTTCGAACGATAGAACCAGAACGAGAGACACGGACATACAGTCATGGCTGGTGAAGTAGATCGTCAGATGCAGCAATTTATTCTAGCAGAGAAGGAAAAACAAAAGTTTCAGGGTCTTGTTGCTTCCCTAACCGATGAGTGTTGGGAAAAGTGCGTCGAAAAGGTTGGATCGAAGCTGGATTCGAAAACTGAAACATGCATAGTCAACTGTGTGGAGAGATTTCTGGACACTTCAAGCTATGTTGCCAATCGATTCAATCAGCTGGGTGAAAGTTAATTAAAGAATCAAGCAATTGACAGAAAAAAACATGTATCACTGAGGCGGGAGTTTTAATTTTTTGTACTGCGTTTGGATGGCGATTAAATGGCTTGGCTCAGCATGGATTTTAGTTGAACACGTGGGATGCAGTATCCATTGATGCGACACGTCAGAAATTAAATGCAGTGCTTGTACTTTGGTAAAGTCCATTTCAATAGCATTTTTCTGTTGGCCACACATTTGAACAAGTTTTCCTTACGCATCGTTAGCAAGCCTTAGTACGTACCTGCTAGTAGTTTTCAACCAACTGCTCGTAGGGCCAGGTCTGGGTGCAAAACATACCCACCCACCTCCCCCCCCCACCCCGGAATAGCATTCAGCTTCAGCCCACTCTTCTCTATGCACTGCATGACTTAACACTGCGTGTAGGTTGGATGAAGGAAACTGCACCAACTATGAAATTTAACTTGCACTGGATTGAAAATCGCAGACTTATGACAAGCTATCCTTGAAGATTTTGTTACTCTGGCACAAAGGTCAAAAGCACTTTGGGCTGGATTCTCCTGTTAGGATTATATGGGTAAGAAGTGTGCCATGTAGACTTGTTCCTCCATTGTTACCCATGTGTACAGCATTGTGAAAAATCTATCCTCACTCTTATTCCTTGAAAAATAAAATGAATATAAATACATCAAACATAGCCTGTTGACAATTTGCTTTACACTTTACCTGGCTGCCAATACTTGCTCAAGCATTTACTTGTTAGACCATAGATCACCATAAAGGTGAATAAACTTTCATCCATTTTATAAGCAGCTTGTGGGGATCTCTTTCCTTACAGTTGATTCTCAAGGCGTCAAGATTTTCTCCTGAAGAATAAAGGCTAAACATATCCACAGGTAGTCTGCGTTGCAGATAGTCTAAACTGCCTGACTATACCGGGGATTTTGTGGCACGGCCAGCTGCAATGCAGGCTAATCCACAGGGAAATAAATTACAAAGTGTTTTCATAATAAATTATTAAACAAACAAAGTGTTCTTTCCACATCTGCTGCCATGTGTATATAAACAAAAATAATACTAAGGTAATATGCACCCCCTCTGCAAGGGCTGACCAAGTTACAGCAACAACACCTTTTAACAAGCTTATATTAGTTTTAGAGGTGCTGCACTAAAGGAAAACAATTATTGATCAAAATGTAATGGTACATTTAATGTCAAATTTAGATAATGAATGCATGTGCCAAACTAAAAAGAATTCCAGCCTTGCATACTGTATACCCAAAATCCAGACTCAGCACTAGATGTTATCAATGAAGATGATGTTGAAACGTAGTTTACCACAAATATTAGTCAAGGAATGATTTAAAAAATGGGAAGAAAATTATTTAACCAGAATTCCGGAGGGATAGTTTAAGGAAGTGTAAGTTTAAGGAACTACCCTCTGCCTCTCCACCTCCCCCTCATTTTCCCTATCAGATCCCATCACAAGGAAATAAATTTTATCTTTATTTATCCATCTCACATTACAAGTGTACTTCCCCCCAAAAAAAACACTTGACAGCAACATTGGATTTACACCAAAATTAAATTTTATGAGAACTTACTTGTTACCGTTACGAATTTTAACAGTAGACCTGTGAGCAGGCACGAACGTGCAAATATCAAAGAAGATAACAAAGCAGATAAGGGGCCGCGCTGAGATGCCATGACAGGAAACTGGGCGAGAGAGCATAACAAGATGCGTGACGTAATTTATGCCAGCTCCCGGAACCTTCAAAGATGGCGCCTATAACTTGTTCATATGTCTTTTCGTTGTTGACGCTTCCTTTCTGTGAATTAGGCTAAATCTAGCCGATATGACAACACAGAATCAGCCCCAGAAGAAGGTAAGAAGACAAGAAATCTTGACGTGTTGTACAGCGTCATTTGAGGAGTTAATTTGTAATAAACCTAAAGGTTACTTCCCTGAACATTCGAACAGGTCAAAATCTTACAACTTGTTCGGACTATTCAAACTGAGCAGCTATCGAAATTACAGCAGAAATATCAACTTGAACAAGACCTGCTAGAGGATGTCAGGTAGGACGGATTCTGTTAAACTGCCGTGATAACAAAATTCAAAATAGCAAATGAAAATAACGTGCACATTATTTGAATTTCATATTCGTTTGTATCCTTAGAACCTATGCAAAACAGAGATCCACAATAGAGAGAGAGTATGCTCAGGTAGGGAAATTATTTGTGTCATTTAATTACGAGAAAGGAGCATTCCAAAAGGTGAAACGACGACATTTTTGCTTGAGATAGTGGTGACAAGACTAAGGTAAATAAATTAGGTTTTATAATTAATCAGAGAATTCATCACATGTAAGCCCGTTTAGCATGCTTTACGGCCTCCTTAGCAAGAACTCGAGTGCTTTTCTTTCAAAGGACGAATTTTTCTCTACGGCTAAACGTTTTTGTGAAATATAGTGATAAAAATAACTAAAAGTATTAGACCAGATGTCGATATCAAAAATCTCCATTGATTTGCCAAATTTGAGGCCAATTGCCCAAGATTGTGTTTCTTTGTCACGTTCGTGGCATATGCTGATTATTTTATTAAAAACTGGTATCAATATCAGTGAGTAGCCAGTATAACCATATCATTTATAAGTACTTTTTGTGTAGGTAAGTTTGCTTGGATGCTTGAAATATTTGATATTGGTTAATTTTTAGTCTGTCTGGATCATAAAACAGCTCTTCACTAACTGTTACAATTTAAATGTTTTTAGTGAAAATCTTTATTATTGTCTTTATATAAAAAACACAGAATCATATGACAGATAACTGATGATCTTCCTGTGAGTTGTGTAGTGACGCATTACATGTACCATAACTTCATGTTTGAAAAGACCTTGCAACAGTGATGTCCAATTTACTAATATAAATTGTTTTATCGGTGGAATTAATTAAATTTTTTATTTGAAGAAAAAATTGATAGACCATTTGTGCAAAATATGCATCATTACTTTATCAAATTTATTGTGACCCAAATTTCTGGTTTTGAGTAATTTATCATTGATTGCAAATTAGGCCAGTAATTAACTGTTGTGTAGCAATGTGAATATTAATAATGTTTGCTCAATGTGCTATTTAGTTGAAACAATTGTCAGGAGTAAATCAAAAATGTGCACAAGATCAATCAAAATATTATGCTGTCTGTCTATAATAGCAAGGCCAGGGGCCTCTCTTATTATCATATTGAGTTTGCAAAGTCCCTAGCTTCATTTATACTGTTAGGGACATAACAGCAAAAAAGCTAGAGGGAGTTTATAAGAATTGGTCCTTTTGGAGACAAGATATTTGGGAAAGTAGAAAATATCCAGATATACCCTAAGGAGCTGGGATAAATTGAGCACAATCTTACTTTGATAGTTAACATCTTTCCCTAGCCATTACTAATTGTTACCTGTGGTGCAGTGGAGGTTGTCATAAAAATAACTTCTAACTAGACAACTTGAGAAAGAGGTCTCATTCTGAAATGATTTCAATTCTTGAGGAAGAGATTTTTGGTAAAAGAAAGTCAGCAAAGATTAATAATTATTCAAATTAAAAAAAGTATTATAATTCTGTCTGTACCTGTCCAACAGTTTCAAAATGTATTTTTGACTTTATGTGAACATTTTTGCATACCCATGTCCAGTGAATTTTATATCACTAACAGTGGCAGCTCAATATAATGCCTTCATGTCTTATTTTCTAGATATTTTGCTAAGTTTGTCTGTAAATGCTTCCTCTCTGTTAGGCCCTACAAAAACTCAATTCCCAATTTCTTCAAAAGAAGGAGTTGTCTGCTGAAGACTTAGCAGGAGAAAATGGACACAAGTAAGCATGCCTTCACTGAATAGGAATCATTTTTAAAAAGCGTTTATAGTGGAGCAACTTTAAGTGTGACTATGCTACATGTATACTTTTTTGACCAATAAGCAAAACAGTTGTAAACTAGGATAGACCTTTAACAAATTCTTCTGCTTTTATTGCAAGTAGTTAAGGAAACCCTCAAAACACTGCTCACCATGTTGATTTGCTTTGAATGAACACAGTACAATCTGCATTTAAACTTAGTGACCTATCAAGCCACCAATTATTGTAGTGCTTCTTTCCCATGGATGCGGGGAGAGCAGTCCATCACTAGTTACCACTTATTATTATATAATTTCCCAAACAGATTGCCAGTACCTGTCTATACACTGTACTTATGAGTAGAGAGAGATGTACTGTAAGATGAAAAAAGTTTGTCTGAGAACAACTCAGTGACCCTTCTCTATTTCCCAATTGCCCATAATTCACTCTGTTTGCCCCCCCAAATTTTGCATAAACCATTGTTGTGAAATGTTCGTGGCAGGTCTGCGTACTCCCAAGAGCATTTTACAACAATGATTTATGCAAAATTTGGGGGGCAAACAGAGTGAATTATGGGCAATTGGAAAATAGAGACTGGCCATGCCATTACTTAAACCCCAACTGGTTTTCCTTGTTTCAAACTCTCTATCTCATAGGTCCCTAATTGAATATCATCATTGTTTATTTTATGTTATTTTTATTGCCCATTTGTTTATTTCAGAACCCCTCATGGAGTCTGGAAATCTCTGCTTGATGAATCAGAAAAAAAGGCAAAGCAGCGATTGGCCATCTCAGAGGAACTTCAAGGACAGATGGCTGAAAGCATGAAGACTCTTAAGTCAAACAAAGCCCAGGTTTTTAAGAAGGTGTGTGTTATACAACTTACATGCAGGAGAAACAACAGTACTGTACAATTTATAGACATTAAGTGCCTCATCCTGACCCTGCACTTTACATGCAGACCCATACTTTGAAAAAACCTCAGATTGAGCTTAACATTCGGAGTTAAGTAAACAGTAAATATGTAGACTTTGAAGTTTTTAAAACATTTTAAGGGTATATCAAATTGATTTCTTATTAATTGATTTCTTATTAATTTTTCAAGTGTCAAGAACTTACCCAGAAAATTCATGAAGAACTTTTTGAGACTGTACGTGAGTTGTCCAAGGTAAGTACAGTCAATTTCTTTTACAAGCAGACTGAAGTTTGTTTTATAAACATTTCAATAATGGTTAATGGATTATTGTTAAATTATTTGTTATAACTGACAACTATAGGCTAAGAAAGGTTATGAGGAAATGGAAAAGCTGGCTCAGGTGGCAAGGGAACAAGCTGCTGATGCTGAAGACAAGTAAGAAATAGTTCAGACTTGACAGTGTTTTAGGGAAGGCATAGCCAAGGTGACAACCTCTACTGGACTCTTTAGTTAATAAAACTACCTTATTACATGAAATTTTCGTGACACGTTTATTTCACAGTTTTGAGGTGCGCATATTTTGCGACATTTAAATTCCGTGATTTTGTGAAAATTTTGAGTAACACAATTTATTTCCTTGGCAATGTTACTTTAACATGTCCTTGAATTTAGTAAACTGACTTTATCAAAGGTACAATAATGTCAAAATTAAGAAAACACAACGGCAGGACTATATGTCAACAGTAATATAATGCAAGTCTCTTAATTTTTGCGTCCTGTTATGTTCACGTCACTTTAATTTCATGATTTTTCTTAAGTCGCAAAATTCACATAATTAACGTGTTGCAAAAATTTCATGTAATAAAGGTAATATTACAAAAATGTGAAATATGAAAATAAAATGAAGGTACATTATTTTATTGCATTAATAAATAATATTGGTACATGCATCTATAAGACAAAAATCAAAGTTCTAATCTAAGTTAGACAGAGTATTTAAAAATACCCATTTACTATAGACAAATAAGTCAGTCATACAAAGACATGTACACAATCCATGAGTAAAAGAACTAAAGCCAAAACACATCTCCAGAGTTTTAATATAATAAGCATTTACACTTACATGCAGCTGGATTCAAGTTCCGCCAGTTGAAGTTTTAATGTTATCTCCAGGCTTGCTTTGCAAATGATCAATATAAAATGCTTTGAACAGTGTGTAATTAATTACAGCATAGTAGAAAAATATTATTGACAACATTTTGTTTAATTAACAGGCTGAAAAAGAAGAACGTCAAGTTTTTTCAGTCCAAGCAATCGTTGGAAAAGAATTTAAACAAGGTACAACAGTGTTATTAAAAAGATTGCTTATGATTTCCAGTCTATCCTGCGCAGTCTCAACACGCCAAATGTTTGTTGCAAGTCTCACTCTGTGGAATGCGAATCAATGTTGATCTTTACCAACCACTTACCTTGTCGATCTTGTGGCATTTTATTTTTGTTGTTGTTGTTGAACAGTTTCTTTGATTACTACAGCTCAAAGTTTTGTCATTTATTGAATTAATCAGTAAGAATGGAGTGTAAAGCTTTGCACTCATAATGGCGTTTAACGTGAGTTGCAAAATGTTACATTTTGTGCTGTCTTGAGCCATCTTACATGAATCAACAAAACAAAAATAAATTCTCAACACTGCCCAGTGCAGACTGGAATACTAATACAAGGGTCACATTGAAATATCATTTACTCATAGTTATCAATGTTCATTCTTGTTCTTAACCTTCACAGAGTTCCAGTAGGCGTGAGATATGTGAGAGACGAACAGCAATGGCTAGGAATGAATACATTTTATTACTGGCTGCAGCTAATGCACACATGACAAGATACTTCTGCAAGGAGTTAGAAGACATTATGTCTGTAAGTTATGCTGTAAAAACAACTACCCACCTGTATACAATGAAAGTAATAATAAATCATTTGTAACTATTGATAGACTGGTCCGCTTAGACTAGCATAGCTGTTTGCGGGCCATTCCAACTGTAAAATGTAGATTTTATTGAGAAATAAAATGATGATGATGATGA